TGGTGGCTCACAATTGCATTCCCAGCACTTTGGGAGGCTGAGGTGGGCAGATCACTTGAGATCAGGAGTTGGAGACTAGCCTGGTCAACATGGTGAAACCTTGTCTCTACTAAAAAATACAAAAATTAGCCAGGCGTGGTGGTGTGCGTGTGTTATCCCAGCTGCTCAGGAGGCTAAGGTGTGAGATTTGCTTGAACCCAGGAGGTGGAGGTTGCAGTGAGCTGAGATGGTGCCACTGCACTTCAGCCTGGGCAACCCAGCGAGACTCTCATCTCAGAAAAAAAGAAAAGAATAAAGAATGTTTAATCTGCAGTTGTTTTGTGTAGTTTATATATTTGTTCTTTAGGTCAAGTCTGTGAATTGAGATGTTCAAATCTTTCACGTTTACTGATTTTGGAGCAGCTTATTCTATCAATTGCCAAGGTTTTGTTAAAATTTCCTAATGTAATTATCATTTGTCTATTTCCTCTTGTAGTTATGTTAGCCTTTATAATTTTAAGGGTATGTTACTAGGTGATTTAAATTGTTATATATTCTTGGTAAATTGAATCTTTTATTATTATGAAGAGTCTATCTTTATCTCTACCAATGCTTTTTGCCTTAAAGACTACTTTCTCTGATATTAATTTGACTGTACTGGCTTTCTTTTAGTTAACATTCGCATGGTATACTTTTTCGGTTCTTTCTACTTTAGATTTGCAGTATTCTATTGTAAGTGTGCCTTTCATTAGTTGTTGGTTTGTTTTTTATATCTTTTTTTTTAAACTTTAAGTTCCCAGATACACGTGCGGAATATGCAGATTTGTTACATAGTATACATGTGCCATGGTGGTTTGCTGCACCTATCAACTCGTCATCTAGGTTTTAAAATCCAATCAGATTATTCTTTAAAAAAATTTTTTTAGAAATACAGTTTTATAACCTGCATCTACTGTAGAGCACTTATTTGTAATGTAACTACTAATATACTTAGGTTTAACTCTGCCATCTTATCTTGAGCTTTCATCTTCTGCCTGTTTTATTATCTTACTTTTGGTTGTTTGGATTGCTTTTGGATTTTTTAAATCTTTTTTTCTATATACAGTTAGTATTTATGCTAGAAACTACAATATGCATACTTAACTTGGTAAAGCTTAAATGTAATTAATACTTTCATCTTCCTTTTTGAAAATCTAAGAATCTCAGAAGACTTAAATCAATTTTTGCTAGGATTTTTGCTGAATTATATGCTGTTTTTGCTGTTATTTTTTTCTGTTTTTTTTTTTTTTTTGTTTTGTTTTGTTTTTTTTTCCCCAGAAACCCAATGCTTTACTATTACTGTTTAATGTAATCAGTATTCATTTAGGTTTCCTCACTTTTTATCCTTTTTATCATCTCAAACATTCTGTTTGGGATTATTTTACCTTTGCTTAAATTACATTTAAAAAAAATAATTTCCTTTTGAGTATGTTTACTGATAGAAAACTCTTTCACTTTGCAATCATCTGAAAATGCCTTTATTTCACTTATATTCATGAAAGCATTTTCTTATCTCTGTTGTATCTTTTTGTTTCTCTGTGCTTCATTCCAAATTTGCTCAGAATTCTCTCTCTGTCAAACCCTTTATCTAGTTCTTATTTTCGTTATTGTATTTTCATCATAAGATATTCTAATATGTTCTTTTTCAGATCTACTTATTCAGTTTTATAGCTTATAGTTTTCTATTGCCTGATATTCTGTAGCTTGTCTTTTAGTCCTTTAACCATAGTTTGCATGGATATTTTACAGTCTTTATGTGATTATCCTAGTGTCTGAAGTATTTGTGGGTCTCTCTTCTATTGTTTTTCCTGGTTTTCTCTCATGTTGGCCTTTTCCCTGTCTGTGTGTATGTGTGTGTGGTTATTTTTGTGTAGTATGATTGCCATGTGTGTATGTGTGGGTGTATTGCATGTATACATATAATATATGTGTGATATGCATTTTCATATGAATTATTTGAGGTACGGGATGACATTACTTCTAGGAAGGAATTAATTGTCTTTACTTCTGTCTTTTTCCTGGAGGCATTAGCAGTCTGTATGACCATTACCCAAGTTCAAAAATTGTAAGTTTGAGACTGCCTAGATGAACTTGTATTGCCATTTAAGACCTGGTTCTTTCTGATTCGCCCTAAGCGGGTATAGCCTTTGGACCCAAATTGTTTTAGGAAGGATCATCTCTTGGGTACTGTTCCCTGTTCCCAATGATGTATTACAAATCAAAGTTCAGATTTTCCAGACAGGCAATGCTGTAAAGTCAAAAACAACTTTCATTCTTACTTTTCTAGGTCCCTGGTTTTTTTTTTTACATTTGTCTCAGTAATTATTTATGATCTAGTCAATTTATCTTCAATTTTAAAAAGATTTTTAAAAATATCAATGTTTTTAGTTTTGGGTGGAAGAGTTGTTCTGAATAATTTTGCTATTGTTGCCAAGCAAAAGTCTTGGCTCACTGAATTTTCCTCCAAATTACAGGTGCCTCATTTGAGACAGTTTTCCTTTATCCATGGGGCAAACACACACTTTATGCTTGTAAGGAAGGCATGAGAAAAACTGTAAATTTAGCCTTGGTGTTTAGAATAGGTTTTTATATACTTAAGACAAATAATGAATACCTTTTAGAATACTTATATAAATTAAAGTTTACACATTTATTCTTTTTCTTTCATCAATGGCATTTAAAAAGTCCATAGCACTGTACTATCTAAGACTTTATTGTATAGCAATAGCATTATACTATCTAGGACATTTATTGTGCAGCAGTCAGTCATCTTTCTCAGAAACATTTGTGGTGATTTTTGCTCAGAACCCGATGGTATATGAAGACATTTATTGCTTAGCTCTGTGAGAATTGTTATTTTCTAAAAATCTATATCCTGAGTTTGTGAAGGGTGGCCAAACTCTTTTTTCACAAGAAGCAGTTACTGTGTATTGCTAAGAAGTTTTGATCTTAAACAGTAGTTTTTATAATTTTTTGTTTTCTTTTGAGAGTATGTCATGCTGCATCTTATAGCTCTTGCCTCAGTGCAGGCAAGAGGATTACCAAGTGGTAGACTGTTACACTGATGGCTCTCAATAAATCATACCTCATGGTCTTCTCTCACAATGACTCTGAGCTTGACCATGTGACTTGTATTGGCCAAAGAGATGTCAGCAAACATGACTCAAGGGGATACTTGATAATTGCCTGTACATTGCTTGCTGTGTGGTGGTATTTGAAGGGGCCCGGTCTAGCTTCCTTAAGGACCACAGGAAAGAAAAGCCTAGTTGTCTCAGCTGAGTACAGCCCCCAGCTGACCCACCAGCTAAATACGGCTGCATGAATGATCCTAGGTGAACAGCCTACTTACAGAACCTTGAGAAATTATTGTTTTACGCCACTACATATTTAGATGGTTTGTTATGCAGTTACAGATAACAGAGACACTGTTGATGTATCTTTGTCCTACTATTGTTTCTTCATGTGCTGTCTTTATTTTTAAATTAACACAGATGATGCCCAATATCTGTCTTATTTTCCCTCCAAAATACAATTTACTTATTACTTACTGAAAAATTAAGCAGCAAAGACATGACAGAGGAATTTATTTAGCGTTGTTAATCATATAATCAATGCTTTGTCTCTTGTAGGTATTTAAGAAAAAATGAAATTACATCTTAAGTTGTTTGTCAATTTTAGACTTTTCACATTGCTTCTTGTTTATAGACATTGATGACTACTGCTATGTTTTATACTTTCTTTAAGAGATATAGTTAGTGAAATGTTCTTCTAGAATTTACCATAAACAGTTTATAGGTTAGTTTGTCTTAAAGTATTTAAATAATATGAATTAAAAAGTGAAGAGTTTTAAGTATGGTTTCAATGAAGCCAGACAATATAAAGTAATATAACTGACTCATCTGCTTTAAAATAAAGAAAAAGGTTATCTGGTATAATTTACACTAAGATGAATAATTTCTTTTGTTATTACAGTTTTAATTCTCAGCTGTAAGCTATATCCAATTTAAGTAAGGATATTTGAATGTTATCCTGAGCTAAGTTTGTCTTATTGGTGAAAAAAAAATCCAACAATGAAAAGACCAACTATTCTCCTTTTATGGAATCCTTGAATTAATGCCATTGTTATCAGAATGTTGCAAATGCAGAGGAGAAAGTGACAGCAATTCTTTATCACAAAAGATGAATTCCTCCAGCTAATATGGTTTTTATGCTGCATTTGCAAATATTATTCTTGAGGATTTGGTGATGATGACCCCTTTTAACAGTATTAAAATGCTGTTGATCAGCTGTGTGACCTTTGGCATGTTACCTTGGTAGGCCTACTTTCTTCATCAGTAAAATGAGGACACTCAGGTGATCTTCATCTCCAAATTTCTCTTACTTCTGAATCTTCAGAGTGGGAGAATGCATTGTTCCGATCTCTTGGAGAAGAACATGATTTTAAAAGTTAGCATGTTGTTATCTGTTCATATACATTGTTGTATGAGAAGACATGTGGTTCTTCACGCAATCACCCATGTTATGAATAAAGAGTCAATAGAATAATTTATAATTATTTCCAAATCAATGTTGAACTGACTATATAGCATACAGATGTTGAAGTCTAAGAGACTGAAAACCAGGCTCATAATATATTAAATGCAACTTTTTGGAGATTAGTCCTTCGTGTAAAATGTATTCTAAGAAATGGAAATTCTAAATGCCTGTGTTTTCTCATTTGGGCATATTAAAAACAACAATGCTTTTTTTTCCCCTAAGCTTCCCCTTCTCCCGAGTTTTGTATCTAATTTTGATGTTCATGGGAAAAATATTAAGCTTTTTATAAGTTTTTAAGAGATGTCTTTAATATACTTCTCTATATAATTAACTTCAAATTTTGATGATCTGGGATAATTGTTGAGGTAACTAACACTGCTTGGGAATTATAAATAAAAACTGTTGAGCTATTTTTATTTGCAAACCTGTTCTTTGTTTTCTTATAGAACACTAGCCCTAATTAAACCAGATGCAATATCAAAGGCTGGAGAAATAATTGAAATAATAAACAAAGCTGGATTTACTATAACAAAACTCAAAATGATGATGCTTTCAAGGTAACTTATCATTTTCAGTTATGTAATGTTTGATTCCTTTTTAAAAAATCATTTTCTATCTTTCATGTCATTGTTTAAAATAAAAAACCTCCTGCTGAATGACAGAGAATAGAATATGAACCTTATCAAAATGAGAACTGATAGGAGTTCATCTAAAATGTTACTGGCAAAGCTAGCTCCCCAAAAGATGGAATCTTTCCCGATTCAGTGTTATGAAACCCATACACAAAATCGAAAGTGAATATCAAGCAGTGCAGGCTTCATTCAGTGCCCATGGAATTGAGAAACAGGAGCATGGCTCACAAATCAACTTCTCAACTAGTGAGGGGTGAGGGTGTTAAAAGATTTCTCTGATAAAGGACATTAAAAGCAAGAGGAGCAATACGACGTCTTTTCTGGAAACTGGTGGTGAACTTCCACTAGTTTCATAGTTGGTGGTGAATCAGAGTGCTGCCTTCCTTTTTGTCTTTTTGTGGCCTCTTCCGGTCACTGTCACGGCAATTTGCATCAGTCATATAGCAGGAAAGTCATATAGCAGGAAAATCAAATTATAATGAAGCCCGAGGTCTTTTTGATGTGATTTGGTTGCCTATCTTGGTTCTAACCAGCCTCAACTGGTCTGGTTGTAAAGGGAACTTTTTATTGCACAAGTGCTGTTTCTTAAAGATAAGTAGAATTAGGACAGGGTAGAAATTCAGCTGTCATGTAGGCATTACACCAGGCAACAAAAAGAAGAAGAAGAAAGAAAAGAACAACAAGACAAGTAATCAGATGCATAAATAACCACTGAAGCCTAAGTAATTAGGAGTTGTCAAATTATGCATGCCTCATTTAACTATTTATTGTCTTTCAAAACCTCATCTGCTTTTATAACACCAATGCCTAATAATTATAATCTCTTCTTAATATAGAAGGATAACACACTTTATAAAATTAATAGAGGAAATGAATGTCTGATTATTTCTATTTGACAAGAAGATGTTGAGATTTCCAAAGATGATATATTTGGAAATGTTTGCATTTAGCTCTTCATATTACAAATAATAGGTAAATATGCCTATTTATTTATTTTTTAAATATACCTATCTAAAAAGCAATCCAATCTATTTGACCAGATATTTTCTAAGTTATTTAGTGAAAATGAGACTTACACATTCAATTTAGCCCTTTCTATCATGAAGTAAGTAACTCTAACCCCATGCTAAAATTGTATTTCTATTGTGAGAATGGCAAGGAGAATAGTAACAATGTACAAATGAAGAATAGAAGATAGGGAAAGCCTTCTCTTCAGTTTTTTTTAATAGATCCTTTGGGAAAAAAACCTAATGATTTTTCCATGATATTGGACACTTGTTTTAAAAAATTTCCTACCAAGTAGACAAAGCAAAGACTGAAACATTCTGGAAGATGAGCATAGGGCAGAGGACTTTGTTTCCTGGGATCACACTCTGGTTGGCTGAGTGTAACACAGTAGCCCAGAGTGTCTCTAGGGACGCGAGTTAGGCAGACCTGGCTCCAATAGTGTTCTTATGTTTCTCCACTAGTTTTTGTTTGTTTTTGGTCAGGTGTCTTCTTTATGCTTCAAGAAATCATTCATTTCTTGATTTATTCATTTCTGGTAGGTTGCATTTTTGTTTCTGTGAAAGCACGGACAGTGGGGAGCAGTAGACATTCAAGTCAGCTTCAATACGTCTGATTCTGAGAAACTAACAAAACAGCCTCCATTTTACCCTGACAATGACATGTTTAATTAGAATTTTTCCCTTATGTATGATCTCGTAGTTTACATATTTTCTAGAGAGACAGGTGGCTTACATTTCAGAGCACAGTATATAGAGCAGATTGCTTGTAACTGTGCCACTTACTAGGTGTGTGACTGAACAATTTACCACTGTGCTTATTTCTTCATTTGCAAAATGGGAGTTATAATAGTATCTGTCTCATAAAGTTGTTGTGAGGGTTATGTGAGTTTAGTGTCTCTATACTTCCAGTGTTTGATAACTTGGTGTCCAACTTCCTGTGATAAAGATGCTACTTGTTTTTCATAATGGCCCTGTAGCACACAAAGAAAGATGCCAAAACCAGTGAATACTTCAAGAGTACCATAGGATGTACATTTGCTAGTTTCTTTGAAACCTTAAGTCTTGTTAATTCCATCCATGCTAACTTATGAAACAGTTCCTTCTTTGGAGTACCACAGATGCATGCCCTTCTAATTACTTGTCCACACACCTATTCATTTTTTGTTATGCACTTCCTTTTCTCATAGTCTTCTGACCACACATCTCTTACCAAACCATTTTCCCTGGCGCCTCTGGAAATCAAGTTTCATTGTGAAGAAATATCCCTGTGTGCACAGTGTCTTAACAGAGTGTATCCTCGCACCCCACATTTTTACTTTAGTTGAAATCTGACCCTTCTCTAGGGACTTCCCTTTCCTTTTAGCGCTGAAGGCTGCTCACTCATAAATGTTTCTTATGTGACAGGATCATTATACAGCGTCAGTGTTTTAGTTCTCTCCTAAAAATCTCTACTCTTCCTCATCCTTGGAAATTTGTGATATTTAGCTGTATTACCATCCACTGAGCCTCTTTCCATTCTGCAGTTCACAAACTCCACATTTGTTAAAGATTTTGGTACTTTGTTTATAGTCTCTTTCTACTCCACTGTCTCCTGACAGTTGGGGTGACTTCTTCAACATCTCTGTGAGTGATCATCCAGGGCTCTAGCTCTATAGACCATTTTCTTCCCCATCTCAGTGACTGTCACCATGATTTCAATTAAGTATTCCTCCAGATTGTATGCTTTTTTTTTTTTTTTCTAAGAATCGTGGTCTTGCTATGTTGCCCAGGCTAGTCTCAAATTGGCCTCAAGTGAGTCTCCTTCCCTGTACTCCCAAAGTGCTAGAATTACAGGCATGATCCACTGCATCCAGCTTGTGTATGTTCTTTTCTTTATAACTTTACCTGAGTAGTGCCATCCATGTCCAGTCATCACCTACCACTTACTTATAGGTGAATTCCAAATACATCTCAGCCTTGACTTCTCTCTACAACTGTCAATCTGAAAGTGATCCTAGATTCATTTTGCTGCTCCCCCATTCCTCATACTTGCCTGATATGTAAGTCTTTTTACTTCTGTTTTCTCTGTATCTCTGGGAGCCATTCTCTCCTTATAATTCCTATTTCAGCCCCTTAGTTTAGGCATTTTGTAGGCTCATAATCAGGCTCTCAGAGTATCAAAATAAGCTACTGATTGTCTACCTCTAGACTTGCTACCTTCTATTCCTTGGTGGGTCATTTCCTACCTCAGGATTGTTCCATGCCATTTTCTTATTGCCATTAGAATGAACCTTACACAATGAAAATTTGAACGTGCTACCATTCCCTTCCTTAAATCCATCACTGGTTTCCCATCTGCAGGAAAAAATGGACAAGCAGGCAAGCTCTTTGATGGAATATAAAAGACTCTTAAGTCATCTGGACTCACCTACCATGATGACTCTAAGAGGATATTAGGTTTCAGTTCCCTGAATATGCTGAGCTTTATCACATCTCAGTTCTCTTGTACATAATTTTGAACTGTTTTGAATGCTCTGCCTTGTCTTCTGTCTAGTCCCTTCCTATTCGTCATTCAGAACCAACTCAAATATCTCATGAAAATTAATTCCTGAGAAAACTTAACTGCTTATCTATTCATTCATACCACTTCATATATTTTTATTGTTGAGTTTGGGGTTTCATCCAATTTATAAGCTAAGAAGTTAGCCTATAATTCTTCCATGGATGTTAGCAGATGACATGAGACTTCTGGGTCAGAGACAAAGGACTTTATTATGGTAGAGCACGCAGCATGAGCATTGAGTGTATAGTGGTTTCCCTTGCCTCCATATCCAGTAGGAATAAAATGACTTAGGCCCAGTTGTATACTGTGTACATAGAGGGTTGTGTTGCATCACAACTGAGGAGGAGTCAACCTGGGTTACCGACCTGGGCTATCCATTAGCAAGCAATAAACAAGCGTGGTCTTTTTACTGAATAGAGTATTTACCTTATCCCTCAAGGTTGCTTGCTGCAAACACGACCCTGAGAAATGACGACGATAAAGATCAGTCAGGTCCTTGTGTTCTTCGCATACCCAGTAAGACAAGTTAGAAGTGTGCAAGAAACTCACATGGAGGAATTTCTCACAATGTATGAATCTTTTCTAAAATTGTTTGTTCAAATGTCAGTTTCTCCATGATGACAATATCCAGAAGTCAGCAGCTGAGTTCTGTATAAGTTTGTATTTCTAGTCCTTGGAGCGGTGCCTCAGTCAAGGTAGGCATTAAGCAAATATTTTTTGGAAGAGTTAATGGATAGATCTTTGTGAAATAATGGTTTGTTTCTTCATAAAAACAAAACAATGACAAAAAACTTCTCTAGATAGTGATTCACTTATTAATACCTATCTCCTTCTAAACCTTTTAAGCAAAGAATTAGATAAGAATGATGGGAAAAAAACTTATGAACTCTCATCCTGCTTTCAGTTTTAGATTTGGAATGGACATAACTATGGAATCAGGGACATGTGGATGAAAACAATGAAACATTTTTAGTAATGGAGTGAGGTTTTTCTTTTCAATGATATTAAAAATTATGGTTGTTTTTTCCTTTCTTGTAGTTCAGTTTTTTTGTGTGTTTGAAAAGTTTAGAATTGATTATTTTGGTATTCTTCTGCTAACTCTTCTAAATTACTCTCTATGTGAGTTTTTCAGTCATTCAGTTTTACCCCGTTTTACACTGTAATGCAATATATATGTATCTTTTTTTTTGTGAGTTTTCTCTTTACCCTCTAGAATGTTGTTCTGCAGTTAGAAGTAGAAAGCATAAGCAGTGAGAGATTTGCAATCTGAGAGATTTGGGTTCAAATCTTCTTGTCTTGTGCTTACTAGCTTTGTGACCTGGGCAAATTATATAACTATGCCGGACTTTATTCTTTTCATATGTAAAATGAAGGTGATGACACCATTTCAATATACCGTTGTGAGGAATAAATATAATAATTTAATCATGGCTATAATTGACTCTAGAAAAAATTGATTTTTTTTCTCCTCCTCATGTCTTGGGAGGAATTTTATTCTCTGTATTGCCATTACATATTTCAAAATCTCTTCACAGCCAAAGGAATGTTTAAGTACATTTGGTTAGAATGAGAGTATGTCTGATATAACTTGTTATATAAATTCATTTTATAATATGCTGATAAAATCTTAAAAGCATTGCATACCAAATTAAGTCTCAAGACTGAAAGATTGATTCTTTGCTAGGGAGCACTTTCCAGTTTTAAAAGTAGTTGATATTTACGTGTATTTGTCACATATTGTGAACTCAGTTCAAAGCCTTTAAGAAAACTACACAATTTTAAGAGAGACACCTGGTTTGCCTTAATGAAAAGGTTTTTAGACTTTTAGCTAATCAGCTTAAAGTGCATTATTCTTTTATTGCCTCTGTAGATATTCTTTAGTGGTAATATAAATGTAAAAAGTGAATCCCTGCTACTATTAATAAACTCTGAGATCTAAATGTTTCCATATTCTCCCCCTTTTTTAGTGATATCAGTTAAAGCATTAGTAACCAATAAAATAAAAACAAATTAATATACATAATTTCTCAGGCAGCTTTTAAAAACAGAACTGCATAGTCTTTCCTTTGGAGATACCTAGCTAAGAAAAAAATGCTATAAACGTTAAATTAAAATTCTACCCTAAAGTCTTAATGTGGGAGAAAGTGACAAATTTTCAATTAGAAGATGGCTTTGCGTTTTTTGATGCAACTTGTTTAGACTTTAAAGAACAAATATTCTTGTTGGTCAAATATTAACCTTTGTTTCTAGAATGTTAAGGATGCTGTGAAAAAGAAGGTAGATGAGGCCAGGTGTGGTGGCTTACTCCTGTAATCCCAGCACTTTGAGAGACCAAGGCAGGTGGATCACCTGAGATCAGGAGTTAGAGACCAGCCTGGCCAACATGGTGAAACCCCATATCTACTAAAAGTACAAAGATTAGCTGGGCGTGGTGGCACACACCTGTAATTCCAGCTAGTGGGGAGGCTGAGGCAAGAGAACTTCTTGAACCCAGGAGGCGGAGGTTGTAGTGAGTGCTGAGATCATGCCGCTGAACTCCAGCCTGGGTGACTCCATCTAAAAAAAAAAAAAAACAAAAAAGATGATAAATGATATGTAACATAAGTAGAAAAGTAAATATTGCTTTTTACATTCATTTTAATTTACATAGATGTTACTCATACTTCCAAAATATTTAAAAAGAGAGACTTTGACAGAATATTTTGCTAAAAAATTATTCAAATATAAATAAGTATAAATCGAGAGGATTTTATCTTTATTTTATTTTATTAATGTAAACTAAAATAATGAAGATTTTCTTTTATAATTCGTAACTATTCTCATTTTGATTATTTTATAGGAAAGAAGCATTGGATTTTCACGTAGATCATCAATCAAGGCCCTTTTACAAGTAGGTCCTTAATTTGGGAATTAGTGGTATATAAAGGGGGATATCCTAGAAAACTAAGGAGTTACATTTAAAAAATTTATTACATGAGAATAATCTGTCAAAAGGACCATAGCAACATCTTGCAACCGCACAGAAATCTTTTCAAAGAATCGTATTCTCTGTCTTTTTATTAAGAATTCCTATATTTTATCATTAAAAATCTTTAATCAGTTGCAAATAGGAGGATTTGTTTACATTACAAGAAGGATAACTTTTAAATTTTTTGGTTGATTAAAAATGGAGTGATAATTATATTTGATGTTGAATATTTTTGTTGTGCCTTTGTGCTTGTGGGGTTTTTAATTTATTTAATTATTATTTTTCATGTTAACTTTTACTTTAGGTTCAGGGGGTACATGTGCTGGTTTGCTACCTGTGTATATTGTGTGATGCTGAGGTTTTGGGTTCAAATGATCCTATTACCCAGGTACTGAGCATAATACCCGATAGTTTTTCAACCCTTGCTCCCTTCCCTCCCTCCTACTCTAGCAGTTCCCAGTATCTATGGTTGCCATCAGTAGATATTATTGTCCATGTGTACCCATTATTTAGTTCCCACTTATAAGTAAGAACATGTGGTATTTGGTTTTCTGTTCTGCATTAATTTGCTTAGGATAATGGCCTCCATCTCCATTCATGTTGCTGCAGAGGCCATGATTTCATTCTTTTTTAATGGCAGCATGGTATTCCATGGTGTATATGTACCACATTTTCTTTATCCAGTTCACCACGGATGGCTTCCTAGGTTGATTCCATGTCTTTGCTGTTGTGTGTAGTGCTACAATGAACAGGCAAGTGCATGTATCTTTTTGGCAGAGAGATTTGTTTTCTTTTGGATATATATCAGTAATGGGATTTCAGGGTCAAATGGCAGTTCTGTTTTATGTCCCTTGAAAAATCTCCAAACTGTTTTCTACAGTGGCTGAGGTACTAATTTGCATTCCCATCAACAGTGTATGTGTTCCCCTTCTCTACAGCCTTGACAGCATCTATTGTTTTTTTGAACTTTTAAAAAAATAAATTCAACTTTTATTATAGATACAGGAAGTACATATACAGATTTGTTACATGGGAATATTGTGTGATGCTAAGTATGGATCCTATCCTCCAGGTAGTTAAGCATAGTACCCAGTAGGTAGTTATTCAAACCACCTCCATCTCCCCTCTAGTGGTCTGCAGTGTCTATTATCCCCATATTTGTGTCAAAGTGTGTTTAATGTTTAGCTCCTACTTGTAGGTGAGAACATACAGTATTTGGTTTTCTGTTTCTGCATTAATTTGCTTAGGATTACGGCCTCTAACTCTGTTTATATTGTTGCCAAGGATGTGATTTTATTTTTTATTATGGCTGTGTAGAACTCTTTGTATATATATGTACCACATTTTCTTTATCCCATATACCATTGATGGGCACTTGAGTTGATTCCATGTATTTGCTATTGTGAATAGCACAGCATTGAGTGTATGAGTGCACATGTCTTTTTGGTAGAATTTCTTTTCCTCTGGGTATTTATGCAGTAATGGAATTTCTACGTCAAATGGTAGCTCTGTTTTAAATTCTTTGAGAAATATCTATCCTGCTTTCCACATGGCTGGAGTAATTAACATTCCCGCCAACAGTGTATAAGCACTCCCTTTTCTCTACAGCCTTGCCAGCATGTTATTTTTTGACTTTTTGACTGGTGTGAGATGGTATCTCATTGTGGTTTTGATTTGCATTTTTCTGATGATTAGTGATATTGAGCATTTTTTTCACATGTTTATTGGCTGTTGGTTTTTTTTTTTTTTTTTTTTTTGAGATGCAGTCTCTCTCTGTCACCTAGGCTGGAATGCAGTGGTGTTATCTCAGCTCACTGCAACCTCTGCCTGCCAGGTTCAAGCGACTTTCCTGCCTCAGCCTCCTGTGTAGCTGAGATTACAGGTGCATGCCACCACACCCAGTTAGTTTTTGTATTTTTAGTAGAGACAGGGTTTCACCATGTTGGTTAGGCTGGTCTCGAACTCCTGACCTCGTGATTCGCCTGCCTCTGCCTCCCAAAGTGCTGCAATTACAGATGTGAGCCACCATGTCTGGCTGTATGTTCTTTTGAGAAGTGTCTATTCATGTCTTTTGCTCAATTTTTGGTGGGGTTATTTGTTTTGTGCTTGTTTGATTATTTAAGTTAGTTATAGATTCTGTATATTAGTCCTTTGTTGAATGCATAGTTTGTGAATATTTTCTCCCATTGTGTAGGTTGTCTTTTTACTCTGTTGATAGTGCAGAAGCTTTCACAGTACAGAAGCTTTCACTGTTCAGAAGCTCTTTAATTAGGTCCCACTTGTCAATTTTTGTTTTTGTTGCCATTACTTTTGAGGACTTAGTCATAAATTCTTTCCCAAGGCCAATGTCCAGAATGGTGTTTCCTAGGTTTTCTTCTAAGATTCTTATAGTTTGAGGTCTTACTTGTAAGTCTTTAATCCATCTTGAAGTTTTGCATATGGTTAAAGTTAGGGAGCCAGTTTCATTCTTCTGCTTATGGCTAGACAGCTATCCCAGTGCCATTTATTTAACAGAGAATCCTTTCCCCATTGATTATTTTTGTTGACTTTGTCAAAGTTCAGATGGCTGTAGATGTGTGGCTTTATTTCTGGGTTCTCTGTTATGTTCCAGTGATCTATGTGTCTGTTTTTGTACCAGAACCATACTGTTTTGGTTACTGTAGCCTGTTGTACTTTTAAACTATTTTGGTAGTCTTGTATACATAAAGCAATGTTCGTGTAACCTTTCTATTTTAGCTAAATAGTTTGATATATATTTTGTTCCTTGACCTATAAGAAATAATATATGTTACACTAAATCTGTATATTCTAAATGGTTGAGAAGTAATCAAATTTAAGTGAATATTTTGCATACTCGTATTACTGTTACTGATAACAGAGTATTTACATTTCTAATAAGAAAGAATGGTATATTAGCCAAACCAAATGGCCACAGTAGACATGTTATTTGGTATCCTGCACTGAGTAGTGGGTTTTAAAAAAAAGTTTTATATAAGAAAATTATTATGCTTTGGATTATTTCAAATCAAGCATTATAAAATATTCCCAAGCCTTGTTAGAATAGCTATATACAATTTTCTAGAAAATTGGTGGAAATTATCTTTTAGTGTAAACTTTGTGTATGTTTATAGCATTGAATTACAACTCCTAATTTAATGATTTATATGTGATTTGCATGCAGTAAATTTTCTTAAAGGAGCGAATTAACTAGTTGCCTGTTAATGAGAATGATGTAACAAAAGACTAGGTGAAGTAATTAGAAAGGGTTTCATGAGGCAGTGTCTATGATCAGGCACATCATTCCCTGTATTATTACATGCAGTTTTCATAGGCTTATTCTGTTGTGTGTTTTGAGAATTCTGTATTAATAGGGCATTAAATTATAAGTGTCTTGAAGGAGAGATCTTGTTTTATGGCACAGATACTGATATGTTGTAGGTAATCAGTAAATGCATGTCGAATGAATAAACATGGTTTGCTCCCTTGATTTAGTTTTTTTTTTAATCTAATGGTTGGTCTTGGTGGTTTTGTTTGTTTGTTTTGGCAGCAAAGGTCTGGCAGAAAATGTATGAGGAGGTATTATAGACTTCTTAGGGTAGAAAATATGAATACTTCTTTGTACATGCTATTTCTTAGAAATATTCTTCAAAATGAATGGGAGCAATTTAAAAAGGAAGTACTGAGGAGAGTTGACTTATGTAACATGGTGCAGGGTGGAAGGAAGTATGTAAAAAATAGTCATAAGTTAGTGAGCACAAATGAGCCTGTCACACCATGTTCCTTTCTCCAAGAGGGTCTCTTCTCTGTACTTTGGATGAGAGAAAAACATGGGCTTACTCTAAAAAGTGCTTTGCCCCTGCTTAACACAGTTAGAAAGACGATGTCATTTATTTCATAGTTAAACTTGTCATTGCATCCAGTACACATATAGAAGTGGAAAATAGAATGCAGTATTGGTTTTAATATCTTGGGGGACTGTGAAACAGTGCTGGATTTTTAATCAAGAACCTATGTGTACGCGCTAATAATTTAATATAGGAATAACCCAGAGTAGTTGTTTATACTAATAAAAGGATATTTCTTGAAGCCTGTTGGTTTTTTTTAAGCATGTTGTTATTTTTTTGTTTAGTTTTTTGGTTTTGTTTTTTGATACAGACTCTCACTCTTTTGCCCAGGCTGGAGTGCAGTGGCGCAGTCTTGGTTCACTGCAACCTCCGCCTCCCTGGTTCAAGCAATTATCTTGCCTCAGCCTCTGGAGTATCTGGGACTACAGGCACCCACCACCACACCTGGCTAATTTATTTTTTATTTTTTAGAAAAGATCAGGTTTCACCATATTGGCTAGGCTGGTGTCTAACTTGTGATATGCCCACCCCAGCCTCCCAAAGTGCTGAGATTTTTTAAATCACCAAACCAACTCAGTGTTTACTGATTGAGAGAGTTCTTTGTCAGTCTTCGAATTCTAATAGTTTTACACAAAAAGAAATAAATTCTTACTATAAGTTACAAGACATCTATCCCTCTCATCAATTTACATATTGTGAAATTGTACTTGACGGCAGTGGTAAACACATGAAAATAAAAAGGAAAATCCACTGTACCTGTTAGAGCACTGGGAAAAACATAGGTCAACAATATGCATTTTATGTCAATGAAATAGTCTTAATTCAAAAGAACAGTGATTTTTCTGCTGAAAGTAGTTTGACATTACTAGTGATTTGAAGTGAATTGAGCCACTGGAATACACTCAAATTATGAAAAGTTTTTCCTGCCCATGTGAAATTAACTATGCTTAATGGTTCTGAGAGTATAATATTCTTTTCTATGTTGAAAAACTCCAATTTAAATATATTCTTTTATTAAGACAGATACCTAGGTTGACTGAAGAAAGAAGCAAACTAATCTTCTACCTGTTTTGTAGTGAGCTGATCCAGTTTATTACAACTGGTCCTATTATTGCCATGGAAATTTTAAGAGATGATGCTATATGTGAATGGAAAAGAATACTGGGACCTGCAAACTCTGGGGTGGCACGCACAGATGCTTCTGGAAGCATTAGAGCCCTCTTTGGAACAGATGGCATAAGAAATGCAGCACATGGCCCAGATTCTTTTGCTTCTGCTGCCAGAGTAAGGTGTTTTAAAAGTATTTGAATTGTCTTCTAGTTCTGTTACATATTTTATCAAAGTAAGGCATTTCTGTCACTGGTGACTTAGGGTGGATTTATGCACCTGATCTAGTAGTAGAGAAAACCTTTGACATTTTGCCTAGTATTAAACAGTGTTTCATTATATCTCCTTTTGTCAACTGGTAACCTGATCATAATCAATGTAACTTTTCTTCAATTAAAACACTTCTCATCCTGTCACCTGTTCCAAAGACTTAAATTACTGAGACTCCTAAATGTTTGAATTATCAAATTCATGTAAGAATACCAGTTTATGGCTAGTAGATATTAAAAAGTAGTATTTTGAGATACTACTTTTTGATTCAGACCTAACACTATACTTTCAAGCTTGACATCCTGTTATTTTCCTATATATAGCTTGTATTTATGAAAGTTTCTCTACAACTGCTCCTCATTTTTAAATCCATATACATAAAGCATCATATTGGATTTATGCTGAGGTTGAATTAATGAAGTATAAGTTTATTTTTAGCATTGTGAGAAGTGTCTCACTTAAGATAGTTTTTAATTTTTTGCAATGAAACAATATTAGACAATTTTATAATAGTTGACTTATTTCTTTTTCTTTCAATTTCTTCAGCAAGCCTCTTCAGCTCTACTTTCAAAATAAACCCTGAATCTGACCATTGTGATCTAAATCACTATTATATTTTGCCAGGACTGCTACAGTAGCCTCAAAATTCTTTTTTCCTCTTTCCTTTCACTCAATTTATGAAAATTTTACCTTGCCCAAGTAAAATCAACTATGCCTAGTGATAATTTAAAGACAAATCAGATTAACATTCACCTGCTGAAAACCCTTCAGTGAATTTCTGTCTCTTCTAGAATAAAATCTAAAGTCTTTATTGTAGCCTCCAATGCTCTATCTGGTCTGGCCCCTATATATCTCTAACTGTATCTTTGATCAATCTCTATCTTAATCACTGTGTTCCAGCCACATTAACTATCTTGCTATTCCTTGAAGAGCATATATCTGTATGAAATAGTGAGATAACAGCAAAGAGGAAAGTGTGGTTGGATACGAATGAGAGAGGGAGGAAGGGGGGGATGAGGTTACAGAGGTAATTAGGGGAAAGATTATATGGTCTTATGGGCTGTAGTTGTACTTTTAGATTTTTCTTTGAAAAAATATAGAGCCATTTTAGGGTTTTGAGAAAAGGACTGATATGTTTCACTTGCCATTTAAAAGAATCATTCTGGGTGTTGCATTAAGAATGACTATAGAGGCTGGACACAATGGCTCAGGCCTGTAATCCCAGCACTTTGGGAGGCTGAGGCGGTTGGATCATGAGGTCCCAGCTACTCAGGAGGCTGAGGCAGGAGAATTGCTTGAACCTAGGAGGTGGAGGTTGCAGTGAGCCAACATCACACCACTGTACTCCAGCCTGGGTGACAGAGTGAGACTCTGTCTCAAAAAAAAAAAAAAAAAAAAAAAGAAAGAAAAAGAAAAATCAGGAGACAACAGGTGCTGGAGAGGATGTGGAGAAACAGGAATGCTTTTACACGTTGGTGGGAGGGTAAATTAGTTCAACCATTGTGGAAGACAGTGTGGCTATTCCTGAAAGATCTAGAGATAGAAATACCATTTGACCCAGCAATCCTATTACTGGGTATACACCCAAAGGATTATAAATCATTCTGTTATAAAGACATATGCACACATATGTTATTGCGGCTCTGTTTACAATAGCAAAGACTAAGATGTAGATCCCTGTAGGTATTTGAATTTTTATCTGTACTGTAAAGGTTCTCTTGGACCATGCAATCAAAGCATCTGATAAAGGACTAAAAGGGGTTGTTGCTGTTGTTATTGATCAAGAGGAGTAATAAATAATGGCAGCAATATAATAGAAAGGCACTTGATATCTCAGGAATAGGACACTTTTTATTCTAGTGTCTTACCACTGGAAATGCTCGAGTATATACGCTAATATTTGAATAATTCCTCATTGCCCTTGTGTTTAAAAAAATGCTGATCAATGTGGCATATTAACACATTCTGTAATCTTTTCATTTTGAATTTAATGAAAAATAAATACAGTTGACCCATAAACAACACAGGTTTGAACTGCACGGGTCTACTTATAATGTGGATTTTTTTTCAACAGAACAATTGAAAATACAGTGTTTGCAGGATGTGAAACCCACATCTACAGATTCGACTTTTCTTATAAGCAGATTCCACAGGGCTGACTGCAGGATTTGAGTATGCATGGATTTGCGTACACACAAGGGTCCTGGAACCAATCTCTTGTGTATACCAAGGGCCGACCATTTGCATTGAGCCAGGCATTGTTTTAGTTGCTATGAGCCCTGTAAAGCTATGCAACTTAGAAGCTCCTTTTTTTCAAATGTATAATTTGATGAAAGACAAATACCCAAATAATGATAACTTTGGGGACTCCAGGTTGCTGACAGGAGGCATCGGGAAATGCCTCCTAGTGATAAGTGGCATTTGAAGTGGCTCTTTACACATTGGTAAGGTTCTTTGGAGCTTGGGTTAGAGGATTTTACAGGGAATAGTAGAAACAATAGCAGTGAAAGTTTAGAGGCAGAAAAGGCTTTAAGGAATTAAAAGCATGACCATCTTTGTGGCTAGTTGAAATTGTTGGGTTGTCATTTTAGTGACCCACGTGCAAAGCAAATAATACAGACTGAATTTGTTTATAAAACACGGTTCATTTGATTTGATTTTGTACTAGGCCTATAGTTAGTTTTAAGTAGCTGTGGTTCTCAGATTCCTGATATTAATCTCTGTTCCTATAAAATTTCCTAATTTTTAATCTTATTTTGCATATTTTAATGAAAAATTTAAAATTAAATTTGTGTCTAATTGACTAATGCTTTGGGGAAAATAAGAACTTTATATTCACATTTCCAATATTCAAAATTTATTAAAACTCTGCCGATTATAATCCTGGAACAGAATAACACATATTCTCATTGCTTTGATTGATACTTCTTTATATGCTTTTGTGGTTTTAAGTCTTGAAACAGGGTTAATTTAATCAGTTTATCCTTGTAAGACTCATTTTTAGAAAATTTGAAACAAAGAATTTATACGATGAAACTCTAAAAGTAATTGCATGATTCTCCTCCCCCACAGAAATATCTTGTAAGTTCAAGATAAGAGATCACATTTGTCAAAGTCATTTCTCTCTGTCTTTAGGAAATGGAGTTGTTTTTTCCTTCAAGTGGAGGTTGTGGGCCGGCAAACACTGCTAAATTTACCAATTGTACTTGTTGCATTGTTAAACCCCATGCTGTCAATGAAGGTAAGTGCTATGTTGAATACACTTTATCCAGCACATTTTGTTAATAGGAGAGTAATGTTTATTTTCTTGATGTACTTTATGTGTAGAAATTAATGTATACTTTTTTAGTATTTTCATTTATTTTTTTCTTGGAAGGCATTTGAATAAAGGTGACAAAATATAAGGGAAAATCTATCTAAATCTCTTTGTCTTTTTCTTTGTGCATTTTTAGGAGGTGTTCTTTGAGTTGCTGATCATACTCAGGCTCATTTATACTGTTACAGGTCTTGGTTCATTGACTTTCAGTCAGCCTCCTGACTTGCCAATCACAAATAGTGATTCACTTAATTCACTTAAATACTTGTTCTTTTTTTTTTTTTTTGAGATGGAGTCTCGCTCTGTTGTCCAGGCTGGAGTGCAGTGGCACGATCTTTGCTCACTGCAACCTCAGCCTCCCAGGTTCAAGCAATTCTCCCACCTCAGCCTTCCGAGTACAGGCACATACCACCACACCCAGCTAATTTTTTTATTTTTGGTAGAGCCAGAGTTTCACCATATTGGTTAGGTTGGTTTTGAACTCCTGACCTCAGATGATCCACCCATCTGAGCCTCCCAGAGTACTGGGATTACAGGCATGAGCCACTGTCCCCAGCTAGTAGCACTCCCGTTGTACAATTTAAAACAATGTCTGCCATAACCCCAGTATACCCTTCCTGAGAAAGGTGGAGAAACTTATTTCAGTTCTATGTATCTCAAACAGTTCTTTGACATATGCATGTATATACACATTTGTATATGTACATATATATAGAGAGAGAGTTTGCAAGTTCTCTTCTTATTTTTGTTTCAGTTTCTTCATTTTATTTATTTTAGACTGGTGTATGTATATTTTTTCAGGTATCAAATCTTTTTGGAAGATGGAGTGTGATTAAAAAGATCACCCTTAAAAAACTAGAATATACTAAATAGTATACAGAAATGAATAGATTTAAAAATTTTATGTATTCTAAGTATCAAAGTAATTAATATGTATAGTAGAAAAATTGGAAAATAGAAAACCATTAAAAAAATGAAGCAAAAAATTACTGTATTCCCATCACCTGAAGATAGTCATTGTTAATATTTTGATGCATTTCCTCCAAATCCTTTTTTTCTGCATTTGTATGTGCATGTGTGTACACTGATACACATCAATGTAATGGGTGAGATATAGGTCTATAGGCTGTTGTTTAAATATTTTTGTAAGCATTTCTGGCTTCCCTTAAGTCCTCATTAATATTTTAATATTTATTTAATATTTAACAGCAATTGTATAGATGTAGTATGTGTTTGGATACTTAGGTTGTTTTCAGTTTTTTTGATATTAAAATTGAAACTTTGAAGAGTATTGTTATACGTAAATATTTGATGATATCTCTAATCTTTTCCTCTGGCTAGTTTCCTAGAAATAGAATTACTTGTTGGAAGGATATGAGCCTTAAAGATCTTGCTGCATAATTAATACTTCTTTAATTATTTAGGAAGTATTTTAATATATTGTAAATCCTTAGGACCATAATTATACGGAACTAACATGCAGCATGGGTAACAAACACTTATAAAGAATTTACCACCATGTACCAGGTAGCAGACTGGTTCCTTATACATTATCTTTAATCTTGACAGCAAGTATGTCAAGTAGGTAAATTCGTTGATCTTTTCAAGATAGGAAAGCTAAGGCTCCATGAGATTAAGTTGTTTCTCCTAATTTAGAGTGGAAATCGAGGATGCAAACCCTGTTGGTTTGTTTGTTTTTAATTTCTATGCTCTTCCCTCTATACTCTATTGCCCCAATAGTAATAGCCACAAAAAAGTCGTATGGCACATGGTTAGTAACAATTCCATAGGAAGTGATAGTAATATTTGAAATGACTGGTATTGAAAATTTATGGAAAAAAAACTGGGATTTTATGTTTCACTCATTTTTTCTTAACTGGGGAGATTGTGTGTGCGTGTGTGAATGTCTATAGAGGTTTAGTATTCCTAATCCAAAAATCTGAACCCAAATTGCTCCAAACTCCAAAACTTTTTGAGCACAGACATGAAGCTCAAAGGAAATGGTCATTGTAGCATTTTCAACCACTGGCTTATATCTATTGGATTTTTGAAGTAGGGATGCTCAACAAATATATATCTGCAGATAATTCAAAATAAAAAAAATTGAAATCCAAAACACTTCTTGTCACAAGCATTTCTGTAAGGAATATTCATTCTATACACACACACATGCACACACATACCTCCATGTATATTTATGTATATATACATATATACATGCACACACAGATTACTCACATTTTGAAAAAGTTCTTGTTTATAGGCATCAACATTTTAAAAGCTTATCCTTTTCAGGGAGTTCATTTTACTCGTTCAGCCATTGGATATGCTGCATCCTCAAGTTCCAATCAGTTTTCTACTCTATAAATGCTATATAGTATGTTTTGGATTTCTATGTCCAAAATAATTCAGTGTCTTTCCCTTTATTAATTTGGTTTCATCATTACTTGTTTTCTTCTTAAAGGGGCTGTCATTCTTCCATTCAAAATCTTGAAAATTGGATTCAAAATCTTGAAATCATCTTTTACCCTTCTTTCATTTTCATACCCTGTATTCAGTTTAATCCTATTGCTTCTTGTTTGGAAATATCTTATATTCATTACCTCCTTCTTTCTCTGCTGCTGCCATCCAAGCTTTGAAGTTCAAAATAAGAGGAAAGTATTTGAAGATATCGTGGCCTATTTTTTTCCAACCAGCATTCTAAATGATTTCAAAAACCTTTGCTATTGTTTACACTACTTACTCTTTACTTCAGAGCAGCTTGCTCATCACTATTGCATTAGTGATCTTCCTAAAATACTACTTTTATTTTGCATTCTCTCACTCAGCATTTTTAGTGACTTCTTGTTTCTTTTGGCAGTGTTTCTTTTTGAAGGAAAATTATTCTCATGGACTCTCAGGGCTGACATAAATTATTTAAATTTTTAGTAACATAAATATGTCCAAATATAAAACTAAATACAAACTTTTGCTCATACAACTGTATAGCTAAAATAATTTGCAGATTCATAGCAAGCAAAACTATAAAACAAAATTTAACTTAATAGCATTAACATGACAAAGGATATTATTTGCCATAAAAACAAGGTTAACATGAATATAGTACAGACTCTGAGATAGGCACGAGCCTGTTCTACTCCAGTGACTCAATTCATCCACCACTTTTCTGTCTACAAGCTTCTGAGAAACCTTTGTTTCTACAGCATGCTATGATATAATTTGGCCTTCGCTTGGTACAGATGTGTCATTTGAGAAACAGATCCACCTCTATCTTTTTCTCACCCCTCAGCCTGCTGCAATTAAAATAGCACTACTTGGCTATAGTAAGATAGTAAATACAAATGCACATTCAGATACTAATAGTACATGGTGATATAGGGTTACTGGATAAGATCCAGATGATCCAAAATATGGTATAAGTGTAAGTTTGTCCATATATATATGTGCCTATGTGCATGTATGGGTAAGAGAAACAGAGTCAGAGACAGAGTTTTAGTTGACTTAAAAAAAAAAAAAAAAAAAAAAAAACCCTAGACGTTTATAGGAAACAAATGGAATCTCAAACTCAGCCCCATACCCCCAGATACTAGAGACTCCAATATAAAAAATCACTCATCTGTAGGATAAAGACTGCATTCCTCATGTTGATATCCAAGGCCTTTATCAATTTGAATTGAATCTATTTTCCTTTTCAATTCGTTTTTCTTTTCTGTCTTCTTACTGTCATGTAAACATGCTCACACTTTCCGAGATGTGTGCCTTCGCTCCTCTCTGTATATAAGCCCATCTGTCCACAGCCTTTAAGGACCATTCATGCTTTCATTTCCCCTTGAAGCGTCTTCCTATCTCTTCAGTTGTCATTTGATTTTTCTCCTCCTTTGAACTCTTGTTTGAATTCCTTTTGTATCTGGTACTTTGGCATTTCATTTCCCTGTATTAAGTAATGCCATTTACAATTGTTTGATTTTTATGTTCTCTACATCCCTAGACTTCAGGGCTTTAAAGGCAAAATAGTATCTTAAAAGTTTTTTGCATAATCCTCAGAACCGTTGTTGATATTCTTGAAGCACTTACTGAGGAAATCAAATGATTAGAGTTAATGCTTGGTATTAGGGATTTAGTTTCTCTTGCAAAATATATGATTTTTTAAAATATGGAGTATAAAGTACTTTGCTGTAAAAAACTTGCATTTCTAAGAAACTAAAATGTCTTAAAATTTTGTATTTTTGCACTCATTGTCCTTCATTTTCAGGACTTTTGGGAAAGATCCTGGTGGCTATCCGAGATGCAGGTTTTGAAATCTCAGCTATGCAGATGGTAGGTAGTTTACAATGAACCATAATATTTGTGAGGATTTTTTCAAAAATAGTTGTAAAATGCTTTACATTTAATGTTCCCTGTGTATTCATGAACCACATTAAAAATAAAAGACATGCTTACTGAACTCAGTAACCTTCCTATAGTCAAAATGTCAAACATTCTTATTCTCCATTTTCCCATCTAGGCAATGAAAGCATTATTATTTGCCTAAATGGCTTATTCTGCAGATTAAATAAAATAATAATTTCTGGCTCAAATTACTAAGTATTTAATAAATGATATCTTCTGTTAGTATTTTGTTGCGTTTAACAAAAGATATGTGAATGTATGATAAAACACTGAAATTCAACAGAATTTCCTCCCTATTATAGTAATGTTGCCCATAAAAATAAATCCTCACAGCTTAACTTACTGCCTGTATAGGCAGAAGGTTCTCAGTGTTCTTCAATCCTGGCAACATTAAAAAAGCAAAATGGAGGGAAAATGAAAATGGGAATTCTGAGGCTATTGTCTAAAAAAATAAGGTCTTAGTTTGCGAGAACCTTGGAACTTAATGAAATTTTATTTCTAACTAAATTTAAATTCAGCCTTGATAAGAATAAGTCCATCTAGACTTATTTTGTAAGCATACTCTTACAATTCTTTTTGAAGAGTAGCAGGAAATCCACATGACTTGTATTAAGTGCTTTATCACAAACTAGACTAACTAGGGATTTTTCTGAAGGCTTGGGAGAAAAATTGTATTATTTTCTTTCCCCTCTACAAAGTCTGAACTACTTTAATATTTCTTTCTTATGCCACTAATCTATCAATAGTACAATTAATATTGCATATAAATCTTCTTTTGTATCAACAATGAGTTTTTATTCGGAGATAGGTGTAGTATAGTAGATAAGAATATGATCAATGAGGTCAGACTGTTTGAGATAGAGTGCTAGTTTGAGGAGGTTATGTAACCCCCCTGAGTCTTAGTAGTCTCATCTGTAAGTTGGAGCTATTAATATTACCTATGCAGTAGGGTTGTTGTGAGGACTAAATGAGATGATGCACGTTCAGAACCTAGAATAGTGCTGTTATCCATTATTATTCTTGATGAGCTGATCTTTAATAACACTTTTTCTTTAAATAAAAATTTATGTAAAGTTTACAATTTAGAGTAAAGAATAATCAAGTGTTAAGTACTAAGTGTGGCTTATTTTTCTTTTGTTGGTTGGTTTATGGTTTTGTTTTGTTTTGTTGTTTAATATAGTTCAATATGGATCGGGTTAATGTTGAAGAATTTTATGAAGTTTATAAAGGAGTAGTGACTGAATATCATGTAAGTATAAAAGTAAACGTAAAGCATACGTACTGTTAAATAAAAAGTATAGGATACAGTGTTTTGGACTAAGCTCCTGTACTAGGTCCTAACTGACCAGACTAAAAATCAATATAGTCATTCATACTAAAGTTCTGTGTCACCAAATTAAGTTGTTATCTGACCTTCTGAGAAATCAGGAGAGAGTAAGCCAGATTTCCCAAACAGGCTAATTTTATTTGGCTTAATAATAAAGTTATCTCTACCTTTCATCAATATGACAGAAAGTAATCTGAGGTAACCTGTTGTTAATCAGTCAGCTATTTCCACACTACTTTCTTCAAACTATATGCTTTTCATACCTCCCAAAATTCACTGCAACCAGCCTGCAGCTTCCTAAACTCAATTGTCCTTTTTTCTTCCCTGCTTTGTGGAGTCAGATAATAGGTTCAGATCCGAAATGCTCTATTATGTGACCATAGACAATTTATTTACCCTCTTTTAACCTTGATTAATCCATTTATAAAATGAGAATAATGCTACCTACCTCATGAGATTGTTGTGAATTAAATGAAAATTATGTAAAGCAGTTTCACATATTAAAATACTCAGTAAATATTACCTGCTATTATTACTGTTTTTATTTAGTCTGACATAATTATTTGGCAGTAGATTCCATGTTGATCATTTACACCTATATTTTTTGCTTTGACATTTACAGTCATAAAAAGGTGATAATTCCTATCTCAGAGGGTTACTATGATCCATTTATTACATATATTGAGTATCTGCTATATGACAAACAATCAGTAATGAACAAAAAACATACTGCCTGCATTTATGGAGTTTATTCTCTAAGGAAGATAGACATTAACTCAAATGATCCTACTCATAGCTACTTAAGGAGTCAAAGCTACCTAAGCAGTCAGAAGGCTGTAAAGGAAACAAAAAGGTTCTTTTATGTTTAAAAAATTTGCAACTTAATTAAAAACTAGGGTGACTTAAAAATTTTGAGTCAGTTTTTAAAGGAACATGTTATGCTTTTGATGAAGTTACTTGTTTAACATTTTTTTTTCATTTTATGCATTTTGAAAGAGCCCTGTATGTCTATTTTCAATTGTATCTGTAATCAACACTGAAAGAGAATAAATGAGAGAGACAAAGAAAAAAGGGAAGGAGGGAGAGAGAAAAAGAAGGAAGGAAGAAACAAAGGAAAGAAAGGAGGGAGAGGAAAAGGAAGGAAACAAGGAAGGGAGGGAGAAAAACAGACAAAATTCACTCTTCTCTTTTTGGAAAACTTGTTTATGCCTTCTGCTCCTCCTCAAATTTGGCTCTTGACATTTATGTGTAGGCAGTTCTTCAATATTATGAGGCAGAAAATCAGACTCAACATAATTATCCATAAAATTCAATTATGTGTGATCTTTGTGAAATAGCAAAATGACTTTGGGGGATATACTCGGGAACTCCAATGAGTAGAGTTATGAGTACCATTTAAGTTATGAAATTCTTTTCCTCCTCTTTTAGCTTCTGTAGTTTCTATTAGGTAAGATGACTGCTTCTGCATCAATATTCAAATATATTCAGTAACATCTTATTTTACTTTGGTGTTGTGTGTTACAAACCCTCCAAAGTCATTAAAATGGTTCACATGATCCTACGTGATTTGGCCTCACCTCTTGCTACTTTCCCATAGCCTCACTCAGCTCCTAGCCTCTTAGCTGATCTTCATATATCCCTACTATACTTCTGCCTCAAAGTCTTCATATCCATTTTCACTTCTGCCTAACATAACGTTTCCTATTCAGGAGGGTGAAAAAAATATTTTTTGAGTGTTCTGGACACTGTGAGAGGCATTTTTCTTTGATCATGTTTATTATACCACTTTATATAGAGATCTAAGAATCTTAAAACAGTACACTTTTGTTTTTCCCTTACTATTCTGTGTGCTGTTGTTCTCATACCTTTTACATCTATATATGCTATAAACCCTACAATATAACACTAATATTTTTGCTTTGAACAATTATATTCGAAAGCAACTAAAAATACAAAAATTAGCCAGGTGTGGTGGCAGGCGCCTATAGTCCCAGCTACTCAGGAGGTTGAGGCACAAGAATAGCTTGAACACAGGAGGCTGAGGTTGCAGGGGGTGGAGATCACGCCACTGTGCTCCACCTGGGCAACAGAGCAAAACTCTGTCTCAAAAAAAAACAAAGAAAGCAAGCAACTAAAAAATAAAAATGCATTTTATATTTATACTCAACATGTTTACTGTTGCTTAGTATGGATTTATATTTTTGTCTGGTACTTTTTTCCTTCTGCCTAAAGAACTCCCTTTAATATTTCTTATGATGTAATGCTTCTGATGGTGAATTGTCTCAGATCTTTTTTGTCTAAAAAACTCTTTATTTTTTCTTCATTTTTGAAAAATATTTTCTCACTTGGGTATAGAATACAGATTTACATTTTTTGGTTGTTGTTGTCATTCTTATCCTTTTCCTGATGTTATATAATGTCCTTCCCCCAACCCCTGGCTGCTTATAAGGTTTTTTGTTTTTAGCTAATTTTGTCATGATGCATCCTAGTGTACTTCTCTTTACATTTATTATTCTTGGGTTCTGTTGGATCTATAGGTTTATGGGTTTCAGCAAATTTGGAAAGTTTTTAGCACTTATTTAAAAAAATTTTTTTCTGTTTATCACCTTTTCTTCTCTTCTGAGATTCTAATTACACATATAATAGCTTAACGTGGTTGCACAGCAGGTCTTTTTTCTTCTTGTTCATTTTTCTTTCTCCCTGTGCTTATTTTGGAATAGTTTCTATTGAATATCTTCAAATTTATTGCTCGTCTGCAATGTCTTATCCTGTTCACCCATTCAGTGTATTTTTCAATTTAGATGTCTTAGATTATACCTCTAGAAGTTCTATTTGGGTCTTTTTAATATTTTTTATTTTCTCCTCCTCATGTTCATATTTCCTTGTAAATTTGAGAATGTGGAGCTTATAATTGCTGTTTTAATATCCTTATGTTATTATATCATGTATTTAATTGCTGGGTCTATTTATTGAGTTTTCTTCTGGTAATGGTGAGTGTTTTCCTACATCTTTGCCTACCTAGTAATTATTTATTGGATGCTGTATATTGTAAAATTTACAGTGTTACATGGTAGATTTGTAAAGAGTGCTCAATTTTGTTCTGGCACTTAGTTAAATCACTTGGAATCAGTTTGAGACTTTTGAGTCTTGCTTTTAAGCTTTGTAGGATGGGTACAGAACATCTTATAATCTAGAGCTAATTTAGGCCAGCTACTATGGTGCAGTACCCTTCTGAGGACTTTCCCTGATATTCCATGTATCATATGAAAAGGCGTTTCACTCTGGCTGGTAGAAAAACTCTCCTCAGCGTTGGGCTGTCTCTGATTTGTTTGATCTACTTTCTGGCAATTCTTTCCCAGCGTCAAGTAGTGTTTTCTCTACACATGCAAGAGATTAGTAGCCAAAGACTCATGGGAACTCCTCTGCAGATCTTGTAGCTTACTCTCTGCATATTCCCCTTGTTTCTCCAGTATTCTTTTCTGAAAACAAGAGCTGCATTGGCCTCCCCAAAGTCCAATCTTTGTCTGTTCAACTCAGAGAATGTTGGTTGCGTTTTCTCTACCTGGTCTACAGGTCTGGAAACTGCCTCTAGAGAGTAAGACAGAGCAATTATACAGCTCACGTCATCTGTTTCCATACTCTAAGGGGTCATAGTCCTGCGCTGCCCATCATTCAGTGTATGAAAACGATTGTTTCATATATTTTGTCTAGTTTCTAGATGCTTAATGTGGGAGAATAAATCTGGTTCTATTATTTCTTGTTGCTAGAAGGCATTATGGTTTTTAAAAGCTTTTTCAGGAGAAAACCTTTAAAATTTATATATATATATATATGGGAATGTGAGCTTGACAACATTGTATTCAAGAAGGCCTTTGCAAGGAAGATATACTAAAAGATAATTCCAAATAATGAAAGTGTCAGGTGATAAAGGATTACATTAAAATGGTGATAGTAATGGAGAAGAGAGAGCATAGTCTTCAAGGAAAAATGGACAGAATTTGGGAAATGCTTGTTGTGTGGGATATAAGTGGGGATGAAGTCACAGATGCCTTTAAGGACATTAGTGGAATGGTGACACAATTAAAAGAGGAGGGGTAAAGATTGTTAAATTATTTTCATTCTTTTATATGACATATCATAGGACATGGTGACAGAAATGTATTCTGGCCCTTGCGTAGCAATGGAGATTCAACAGAATAATGCTACAAAGACATTTCGAGAATTTTGTGGACCTGCTGATCCTGTAAGTTATTGTTTAAAATATTAACCGAGTGTATGTTATCTATTCACTGTTTTCACAGGTTGAAAATTTTTAGTTTGTTCCTTAAAGTAAATATATAAAAGTGAATATAATATACAAAGTTTTTATTCAAAATGGCACTTTACATTATTTATTTTTTTGAGAGGTAGTCGCACTCTGTCGGCAAGCTGGAGTGCAGTGGCGCAATCTCGGCTCACTGCAAGAAGGCCTTTGCAAGGAAGATATACTAGAAGATAATTCCAAATACTGAAAGTGTCAGATGATAAAGCATTACATTAAAATGGTGATAGGAATGGAGAAGAGAGAATATATCTAAAAAAATATTGCCCAGACTGGTCTCCAACTCCTGGTTTCAAGCAATCCTCCTGCCTAACCCTCCCAAAATGCAGGGATTACAGGTGTGTGCCACCACAGGTGTGTGTCTGCCTACCAGGTTCAAGCAATTCTCCTTCCTCAGCCTCCCCAGTAGGTGGGACTACAGGTGTGTGCCACCACGCCCGGCTAATATTTTGTATTTTTAGTAGAGACCGGGTTTCACCATGTTAGCTAGGATGGTCTCGATCTCCTGACCTCCTGATCCACCCACCTCAGCCTCTCAAAGTGCTGGGATTACAGGCATGAGCCACCATGCCTGGCCTACATAATTTATTTTTACATAACACTCCAAGAAAGAGATTTTTAAAAATTAACTTAGTGACAATATAAAATAGGCAGAAGAATTTACTATAGCATTTTTTCTTTCTTGTTGCTAAATTGTTCAGATAAATACATTTCGCAAGCTTCATAATATAAATTATCTAAGGTATTATATATCCTTTAACATAGGGGGGCCATAAGTAAAGCTGTTATAATACAGTGGCAGCATACCAATACATAAATAAATATGGGCAATGGGACCTATGTGAAACTTGGTATTCACTAGTATACCTTTCAATTTGCTTTGAGTTTTCTTCCTATGGACGTTTAACAGTGTGTGTATGTATGTGTGTATAAGTGTGGCAGGGTGAAAAGTAGAAGTAACACTAGAGCACTATCATAAAGCTCCATGCAAATATTAGAAACTAGGTAGGATTATGGGAAGTATTACTGATTTAAACACTAACCTTAGTTTAAATGTACTGTTTCCTTTATTTTACTATTATTTATAAATAGTTTATTGAAGATGAGCAGCCAATACAATTTAATTTTACTCAGGGCATTACTTATTTTTATTTATTTATTTATTTATTTATTTATTTATTTATTTATTTGACAGAGTCTTGCTCTGTCGCCCAGGCTGGAGTGCAGTGGTGCGATCTCGACTCATTGCAACCTCCACCTCCTAGGCTCAAAAAGTGATTCTCCTGCCTCAGCCTCCTGAGTACCCGGGACTGTAGGTGCCCGCCACCACACCTGGCTAATTTTTTATATTTTTAATAGAGACAGGGTTTCATCATGTTGGCCAGGCTGGTCTCAAACTCCCAACCTCAGGTGATGTGCCAGTCTCGGCCTCCCAAAGTGCTGGGATTACAGGCGTGAGCCACCATGCCCATCCATTTATTGAACACCCTTAGATGTAAGACAGTAAATCCACAGCACCTATTAGGAAATCATCTTGTGTGAAAATGCTGCTAGATTAAGCCCAGTAGGGGAGAACCATACTCCCGTTGTCAATGATCTAAAAGTATATACATAAAAATCTTTTAGAAAACTTACAGTGCTACATATAAAAATGGATATTGTTGTTTCAGTAAAATCCAAATGTTGAATTGTGAAGGAGCAGTTAATATGACCTGGAGGTAGCTAAGAAAACTTAGAGGAAGGGAGATATAAACAGAGGTTTAAAAGACAAATTAGGGGGCCGGGCGCGGTGGCTCAAGCCTGTAATCCCAGCACTTTGGGAGGCCGAGGCGGGCGGATCACAAGGTCAAGAGATCAAGACCATCCTGGTCAACATGGTGAAACCCCGTCTCTACTAAAGCTACAAAAAATTAGCTGGGCATGGTGGCGCGTGCCTGTAATCCCAGCTACTCAGGAGGCTGAGGCAGGAGAATTGCCTGAACCCAGGAGGCGGAGGTTGCGGTGAGCCGAGATCGCGCCATTGCACTCCAGCCTGGGTAAAAAGAGCGAAACTCCGCCTCCAAAAAAAAAAAAAAAAAAAAAAAAAGGACAAATTAGGGCACAAAGAGAATGGAAAAAGATCTAAAGCATGTACAAAAATGCCAGTGAAGGAATTTGCAAATTTACTCTCGTATACAGCAGGAATATTGTCTTGGCTTCAGTGGAAAATCCAGAGCTGGAAGCACAAGGAGATACATTTTCTTAGATAGACGAAATATGGTAGAGAATTCTGCTAGGGATGAGTGTGGTTTTAGCCTTAGAAGCCAGGTTAAAAATTGTAATTCTATTTAGTTTGAATCTCATATCATAGGAAATTGGAATTCCTTGTATGCAGCTTAATTTTGACTGTACTGAATTGTTAAAATTGGAAGAGATTTAAGACAGAAGATCTAGGAATAGAAAGATGCAGACATCAATAGAGAAAGTTGGCAGGATCTCCTTTATATCTTTTCAGGGACAAAGAATAGATACTTAAATAATACATGTGGTTGTGATAGAGTAATGATTACAAGGTGACTGTTGCAGGGGACACTGAAGGATAGTGGTAATGATGCTGTTTATTGAAAATTAATCATAAGGCATTAGGAAGGGATTTTTTTTTTGGCTAGATGAATAAACATAACTCAATTTTTGCCATTTTTGACATTTTAAATTTCTGATTTCTGTTTGATGGCCAAGAGGGGTTTTTGTACTTTTTATTTAAGGTAAGTAAAACTGAGAGTGATCAGCTTGATCTAATAAGCAGGAGTAAATTAAAGAGACAAAAACTAAAACAAAAAAGGAAAGAAATAAGATGATTCATTCTTTTGTTCTCTCATTGATTCAATAAATATTTATTGAGCCCATGTCAGTATTTGTGAATATAAAAATAGAAGCCCAGGCTGGGTATGGTGCCACATACCTGTAATCTCAGCATTTTGGGAGGATAAGGCAAGAGAATTGGTTGAGACCAGGAGTTGGAGACCAGCCTGGGCAATATGGTAAGACCCTATTGCTATAAAATTGTGTGTGTGTATATATATATATATATATATATGCATACACACACACACACACACACACACACACACACACAGAGATACATACACACACACATATATATGAATGATATATATGTAATAAATATATATAAATATAAAATTATATATATACGTATACACCCTTATATAATTATATATTTTTTAATCTTTATTTTTGTTATATATTTTACATAAAGTTATATATATGAAACTTCTTTTTTATATATATATATATATATATATGAAGCCTCAAAGAGCTTAGTCTGTGAGTAGACAACTATAAGTGGCTAATTACCATGTAATATGGCAATTGCATTGTTAGATATTTACAGGTGCTGTGGGAACCCAGAATTATAGCACTTAGCTCAGCCTGGGGATGGGTGACACAATGGTTTGAATGTTTCCTCCAAAAGTTCATGTGTTGGAAACTTAATCTCCATGTGTATATATTGATGCTATTTGGCAATGAGGCCTTTGGGAGGTAATAGGGTTAGATAAGGCCATCATGGTGAGGCCACCATGGTGAAACTAGTGGCCTTATGAGAAGAGGAAGAGAGACCTGAGCTGATATGCACACTCTTGCCCTATTGCCATGTGATATCATTCCTCGTGTTCTGACACAGTGAGGCCGTCACCAAATGCTAGCGCCATGCTCTTGGACCTTCTAGCCTTCAGCACTTACAGTTATTTATTATAGAAATAACTTTAAAAACATATTTTCAGATGCTCTCTCCCAGCAGAAATACATTTATTTTCTCTATAAATTGCCTAGTCTCAGGTATTTAATTATAGCAAAAGAAAATGGACTAAGATATGTGGTAAAGTTCTGGGGAGACAGGGCTTCTGAGCTGAATTGTAAGGAATTAGAACTTAGCTTAGTGATGAAGGTGGGAAATGATATGGTTAAAGTTTTGAATGCTTAAAACAACATAACTTAGGGGCCACAGTAAGCTCTTTATTCCTGCTGGAACTAAAGTACAGTGCCAGGAATGATAAATGATGGGGTCATTGGGGAGGAGCTGGGTGTGAGCAGGTGCATGATCATAGAAAGAAGAGTCCCAAAAAGAAAAAAATGATGATTCCCATTTTTTTTCCTAGGTATTTATTCAATGAACATTTACTGAGTAAATAGTATGTGCAAGGCTCACTCCTGGGTCCTATTGCTGGGGCATAATAAAGATGACTAGAACACGTTATTTTTCCCTAGAGACCTCATAACCTTATGATAGCTCAACCTCGAAACTCTTTCAGGGCCCTGAATCTTGTCTCATTAAGCATGGAAGCCATTTCCCTACTATTTTTTTGTTGTTCATTTTCGTTGTTTATAAGTTCCTCATAGCATTATAGAAAGTTGCACCACAGGGATTTTAAAATTTGGATCTGAAAATGTTAATAGTGGTTGTCTTTGGGGGCTGGAAACATGACAGTGTTTTAGTTCTGTTTCCTATATTTTGCAAAATTTCTTTAAAGTACTTATATTACTGTTATGATAAGAAAAATACTTTTTATCTTAAAACCTGAAAGTTAATGAGCTTTTAAATGAGGAGGCCTATACATGTAAGAACTGATTCTCCTCTTGTGTCTCAGACTCCTGAGTTATATTCTGTTTCTAAGTGGAGATCCAGGATGTCAAGCAGAACTGTATGCTTTTGATGGGTATTTTCAAATTAGAAGAAATACTATAGTAGTTACAGACAAACTATGCTTTGAGGACAATAAAATGGCTCTTTCTCTTTGGTCTCAGAATTTTTAAATCCATTCAACTCTTTTTCTCCATCCTTTTCTCTCCACCTCTCTAACAAATGGATATTGAATGCTTACTACATGCTAGTAACTGCCAGGTGCTACTAGGTTTATATTAAT